CAGACGGAGGGAGGGAGGGATGGGCAGGTAGGTGGCCAGGCAGATGGACGGATGGATGGATGGATGGATGGATGGATGGATGGATGGACGGACAGAGGGAGGGAGGGATGGGCAGGTGGGTGGCCAGGCAGATGGATGGACGGATGGATGGATGGATAAAATGGGCAGGTGAATGCATGGGTATGTGGGCAGATGGATGAGAAAGAAAAGAGAATGATCAAGCTAATGAGGTAAATGTAAATGAATGGGGACCCTAGGTAACAGGTACACCAGAGCGCTACCTATTATAACTTTCCTGTAACTTGAAACTATGTCCAAATGTAAGTTTAACATATAAAGATAAGAATTATAAACACTTAAAAACACATAAAAACATTGGCGTGAGGAACTTGTTCTACCAAGGTGAGATCATCTCTCTGCTGGTTCACACGTGTAGAAGGGCCGAGCTAAGGAGGCAGGAAGCCTGGGGCCACCCTCCACTTCCTTTCTCCCCTCATGCCACAGGTTAATTCAGAGCACCCAGACTACCCTTCTAGAAGGGCATGTCCAACCACATGACTGCCTGAACTGAATTCTCTGGTTTTCCCAAATCAGATTGTTTGCACTCATTTATAAGAAAAAGTCGTCTCGCGGACTCCAAGAGTAGAAGAGGACTTCGTTTTATTGACATTGAACAGAACTATCTGTCTTCCACACATTCTATACAACGGTAGCATATTGGAGTGAATGCAGGAGGCATATTAAAACATAGCCAGTTCTAAGCGGTACGGATATTTCCTGTCATAGAAAAGAAGTATCCTGCCCACAGATTCACATTAACATACACGGTACATTAACATCAATCTCGGTATTGTGCACCAGGCCACAGCACATGTCTGCACACAGGCTCACGCCCTGCGGCAAACCTAGTCCACAGTGTTCAGGGGGCACCACAGGGGACACGGGAGACACGGAAGGAACACGGCTAGGATTGCATCTTTTACATCCAAGAGCGTGCCGTCGTCTCCTGGAGCCGCCTCGGGGGTGACATCCTAAGGCCAAGGCTCCCGCACGACGCAGGCGTTTGTCCGGCAGGTCCGAAAACTCCTAAGACCCCAGGACACTAGCACTCCGCACGGATAACCACCGCACCAAACATCAGAGCGGGAAAGAAACCCCCGGCTGAGGGGGGCTCGTCTAGCTAAATAACACTGACGTCCCGAACCGAAACGATGAAGCATGAACGTTGTCTTGACACAGTTCGCGCCAGAGTTCCAAACGCCTCTCGGGCAACAAGGAACGACGGCACGTAGCACCGTCGGGGTGCGCGTGCGGCCCCCCGCGACCGCTGAGCGGAGGGCAAACTTGGACATGAAAGAGCCGGTCGGATTTGCTGTTCGTTCGCTTTTCAAAACCAACCTTATGACTTTACGTTCACTCTTCACAAACCAGACAACCCGCCGACACGGACTTTTTTAACAGGTTTAAAGCAACAGGCGATTCCGCGTTCGTCTATTAAAGGCAGCCTACGAAACAAGAATTCCACTAAAACTTCCGGAAACAGGCTCTTCTGCCTGCCGCTGGGTACGCAGATAAAAAGACACGGCGCCTCCCGCCTCCCCAGAAGCTGCGCTCCGAGCGGTCCCAGGTGGCTCGGCTGAGGCCGGGGTGAACT